GCAATCGAGACTCTAAAGTTTAATCTTCACTCGTCTTACTACATAGAGTAAGACCCCATTTGTGGATGCTACATCTATACAGAAAATATTTCTCATCTTTTCTCATCCAAGGTCACATCTCATTTACATGGCAGAACAGTAAAGTGCATGACAGAGTAGAAGTAGGTCTATAACGCTCTGATTAAAATTGAGCTGGACAAGTAGATCCAGGTATCTTTCATCAATAACTAAAAGTTCAGCAAAGATATCAGACCAAAAGGATTGCCTTCACAGATCAGATGGCTGCCTAAAGAGTGATAAGTATCTTGAGATGCAGCATTCTGGATGAATGGACAGAGTGCAGCCTCAGCAAGTTTGCTGATTACACCAAACTGGGAGGAGTGGCTGATACACCAGAGGTCTGCGCTGCCATTCGTAGGGACCTTGACAGGCTGCAGAGATGGGCAGGGAGGGACTCCATGAAGCCTAACAACGGGAAGTCCTTCACCTAGAGAGGAATAATCCCATGCACCAGTACAGGCTGGGGGCTGATGCGCCTTTGCAGAGAAGGACCTGGGAGTCTTGGTGGATGACAAGTTAACCATGAGCCATCAATGTGCCTTTGTGGCCTAGAAGGCCACCAGCCTCCAAGGCTGCATTAGGCAGAATGCTGCCAGCAGGTCAAGAGCAGATCCTCCCCCTCTACTTAGCCCTGGTGAGGCCACATCTGGAGTGCTATGTCCAGTTCTGGACTTCCTAGTACAGACATGGAACTGCTGGAGAGAGCCCAGCTTAGGCCTATGACTATAGTTAGGGGACAGGAACATCCTTCTAATGAGGAAAGACTGAAAGAGATGGGCCTTTTTAACCTCGAGAAGAGAAAACTGAGAGGAGATCTTATGTGTATACAAATAACTGAAAGTGTAGAGAGGATGGGACCAAAATCTTTTAAGTGGTCCCCAGTGACAGGATAAGAGGCATTGGGCACAAAGTGAAACACAGGAATTCCTGTCTGAACATGAGGAAAAACTTCTTGACTGTGAGAGGCTGGAGCAGCGGGTTTGGACTAGATGATCTCTAGAGGTCCCTTCCAACCTTAAGCATTCTGTGATTCTGTGTGAGAGTGGCAGAGCACTGGAACAGGTTACCCAGAGAGGTTGTGGAGTCTCCTTCTCTGGAGATCTTCAAAACCTGCTTGAACATGATCGTGTGCAACATGGTGTAAGTGACCATGCTGTGCCATGGGGTTGGACTGATCTCCAGAGGCCCTTTCCAATCTCAACCATTCTGTGTTTTTTCCATGCTGAGGTATCCCTCTCTCTTGCAAAAGGAGAAGGTGTATTTGTTTTACGATTTTAGTCTATCACTTTATGGTAGAAATTGATTTGTTATTTTTGCTGTAAGAAAGGAAAAGATGTCTTGGATTAACAGTGATGTCAAAAGAACCCAAACAGAAGGTGATGTCAGGATGTTTTGATTCTGCTGCAGACATGGAGAACAGCATTTTCAGACCTTGTGCAAGATGAAGGGGAAGTGGGACTTGAGAGGATCTTGGACACTTAGAAACCTGATTTCTAGAGTCATGTTTATCAGATTCCCCTAGTGGCACGGAGGGCTCTGTCAGCCCCTGCTTTATACCTGTTTTCCTGAGGCTCCAAAAGTAACTTTCCTGGAGACTCCAAAGCTCCAAATATCAGATCTAGGGAAAGGCGTAGAGAGACAAGGATTCCAACCAGTTCGGCCACCCACCCACATGGAATGGGAGAAATAATGCTTTGCAATCCATCTCCAGTAGATTTCTAAATGTTTCAGTTATCTGCACTGTTTCAAATACAAGACTGAAACAAAAGTGACCCTAGTCTGAATAAAGAAATTCTCATGTGAGATGAGAGAGACATTTCAAGATGGGTTTGAATCTGTCCAAGCAGAGACTTGGCTGTTTCTTATATTCTATGTTAATGCCCTGACTAGATATTGCATGTTATTTTGAGTTTTATATCATCTTTTTTAATTTTATTTTTGTCAAGGTTTTGCCCCATGTGGACGGGGAATCTTTTCCTATTTTCCTCTAAACTGATCGTTTCTGCCCAGCATTCTTGTTTCAATGAATCAACTTTTCTCAAGAACCAAGAAACATTACAGTTGATTTTTTTTTAGATAATTTTCTTGACAAGTCATGTCTCAAATCTTGTGAAGATCAGGCCTGATCTTTTGGCTGGGTGACAAAACAAAGATTTTTCTCTGGTAACAAATAGACACCGACTTACTAGAATAGACACTGGAGTAAGTGAGAGAGTTCACTCCTAGGAATAGCAGCAAAAATGAAATTATGGATGCAGATCTAGCAGCTGCAAGAGCAAATAAGTGTTTGGATGGATGTCCAAGGGAATTTATTAAAAGCAGATGAGAGGGGATGATTTAATTATTTTATGCCTTAGTTGCTGTTTGGAAAGTACTGAAGGAGCTGTACAGATTTGAAATAGGATACTTGTGTTTTGAAAGGAGACCAGAGAAGGGCAACAAGATTACTTGGGGCAGGAATGGATGGGAAAGACTCAGAAGACTTAGTGTGTTTGGTCTCTGAAGTGGTAGATAAGAGACCTTATGGTGATGCACAAAATAAAATAAGTGATGAAGATGAAATTTGGTCAGAATGTGTTCACTATACAGAAAAGTAAAATACAAGATAGCAAGCTAAATTAGGGAAGGAGTTATGAGAAGGCCCTTTTTCACCCAGAGCCATGAGGCGGGCCATGCAAAACAGTAAATGCTTTTAGTAATAGGGTAAACCAAGAAAACAATGTTTGGGAAAACCACAGCCTCCAATGCCCTGAGGTACAGAAGGTGGGCTGGAAACAAGCTGGAGCTTAGTTCTTTCCATCTCAGAATTGCTGAGGAGGTTCTGGCTCAGTCATTTGGTAGCTCGCCTGAGCTGAGGTCTGAGGGTGTCCATGGGCGATTCACAGCCCTTTCACTTGCTCTGGATTTGTGTGTTCAGCACAGAAGATGCTTAGCTAATTCACAATATGAGTGAATTAGCTTCTACTTCAAAAGCAGATGAAGTGTCCAAACGAATGAAGTCTGTCATCTCTGCCAATAGCCTAAACAATGGTTCAGAAAGAATTGGGGATGTCTCCTGAAAGCACTTATCGACCTTTTTAATTTTTTCCTGAATAGTGTATGTGTACCTATTTGAGGCAGGGATTGATCTGGGGATTGGATTGAAACAAATAAAATGTGTTTTACTTTCCCTATGAAAAACCTGATTCCCTCCTCGGTGCTAATGCAAGACACATTCAGATATGAACGCCTACATCTACTGCGGTGGCACCTGTAGGTGAAATGCAAAGTGAATTGCCTTTGCATCTCACAAGAGTCCATTCAGGAAACACTGTGCTGCAGACAACCAGCCAAGAAATGCTCTCTCATCCCTCTCTCATTCCACTCATCGGTCATCACAATGTTCATTGCCTGAGTGGGGATAACAGCTGAGGAACAACAACAAAAAAATAGTCTCTGCAACGTTTTTAGGTTTGTGTATACAGGGACTCCCCAGTCCCACCACAATCAGACACGGGTACAAAATCCCCAGTTACATTCCTAGGACAGCTTTCTGTTTGATTTCCAAAGACAGGAAATATTTCAGTGATGTAAGGAGGTTTATCTACATGGTGATATGAAACAAAGAGGGTTTAGGTTCCTGTAGGCCTAATAACCTTTCTCTGTTATTTTGTGAGCACCTGGATCAGTCAAATAAAATATCGCAATTAGCAGGGCAGAAACCTGGTGCTAAGAAATAGCAGGTGGCAGTAGTTTCTTAGAGAGGAATGAAATTTCTATCCCATATAAGGTATAAAGTATAAAAAGAATATATAAGAATAAAAAGCCAGAAAACTTAGTTGGGAAAACACTTATGCGTGGGCAGGAGGATAATCAAGCAAGATGACCTGACAGGCCTCTTCCATCTCTGACTCCTATATAGGGATGTCAAGTCTGTTTTCCATAACACTTGAGTGTATTTAGTCGGTGTGCAAACTGTCTAGTAGCATTTGCTTCTTACTCATGTGTGGGAAGACATGTTTTAATAGTGTGAAACCTTTGAGGATCTCCTTATCTCTTCCATTAATTGCTACAGTTGTGTCTCAAAATCCCCAAAGGGAGTGAGAAAATAAATCCTAGTACCCCTGATTAACTAGACCTGCATTTCCATTGCCTACATATTCATAGCTTAAGTAGGAGTTTAAGAGGAGGGCAGCCCAAAGGCTTAGTTTAGTGGCTCAGTGCTACAGATTGTATTTCCATTCCTTCTGTCTTGTTTCCTGGCTTGGCAAACAAGGCTTTTTGTATCTCCTGGATGAGTAGAAGGGAGAGTAGCTCCTCTCTCAGCAAGCACCGACCTCTCCAGTTAATGAGGCAGCAGTGCTGAAAGGGACTCTAGAGTCTCTGTCGAAGCCCAAATGAGGATGGCAACACAAGAAAGTATAGAGAGTATAAACAGAGGGAAGCGTGGAGCACAGGAATCCTTTTTCCTCCTTAATATCACAAAGTATTCTGCTTCTCACTCCTTCATTTTCGAATATCACTTTCTCTCAAAAGAGGAAAATAATGTGATTTTTAGGCATACGTTTCATATTTATATTCTCCTTTTGCGTAGTGGAAAAAGGGCAAACGTATACAGGGAGTCCCTATAATTTTGCATGGCTGAGGAGATTCTTCAATAGCTTGGCAGTGGCCTTTCGTACAAGCTCTGTCTGCATGTGTGCGCGTGTCTGTGTGCTACAGAGAGGGTTGCTGCTCAATTTAGAAAGTTATAGATGTTCTCATCAGCCCCGTGCAATGCAGCAGAGATTCCTTCCAAAAGCCAAGAGAGCCGAAGCCACAGACAACAGATGTGAGAGGGGTTCCCATAACTGTCAATTTTCAGAGTGTTTGCACTGAAAAGAGAGGAGGTGCTATTTTGATTGATATTTCAGTTGCAGTATATAAAGCAGAGGAATTCTTCTCCCCCTCTGCTTGTCATACTGATCTGCATCCTCTTTCAACTGGACTTGGGGCTACTACTTACTGTATCTGAAAGACTGAAACTCATTGGGAATAAAGATTTCTTGTAACAATGCCGGAACCCACCACGAAAGCTGGTAAGCATAAAAAACATAATCCGAGCATTTCTTAATTACATGATTTATGAATACGCACAAAAATGCCCTGTATACCATCTTGCATGGTTTAAATAAGAAGTGATATTTTAAAGAGAAAACCTCATAGCACCATTATACAATCACAGATTGTTGCTCCTTTTAAGCTACAAAATTAATTTCAGGCAGGTGTGTAGCACAGAAAAACTTGACCTTCAGCTATCTTAGACGAAAACAATGGTTTAGCAGAGATACAAAGAAATAACTTATTTGAGCAAATATTTCATTTACTTTTTAAAGACTAAAGATTTTTATAGGGCATTTAGTGGTCTCTATAGCTAAGATAGCTTGACTCTGGAAAACAGGATATAAACTGTTATTCTTTTTTAAAAAATCAGCATGTACCTATATTTTTTATTAGTGTCTTGAAAATAAGGTGGTTGTTAAATAGAAGCAGAGTGCTTGTGAATCAGATTTAAGTTTTTGGTAAAAAACAATCTATATGTATCATGCATAAATAAAGAATCTAGCAAGCTTTTCTACACAAGTCAAACCTCAGTGATATACTTTGCCACACTAGAGAAATTATTGTGACAATCTTCAGGAGGATAACAAGACCAACAATATGGGCTGCTTTATTGTATTCTTTTCTGCAGTAAAGTTCACAGAAATTAATCCAATTCTGTAGTCTGTTAGCAAGATACAAGTTTCCCATTGGAGGCACAGGTAACATAGAAAATATATGGAAAAAGTTTGGAGACTATTAATTTATGGCTTTTTAAAAACTGACCTTTATTTTTTACTGTTTTAGAAATTTAAACTAAATAAGCTTCTTACAGTTACATTACTTCTCCAGCCTTTGATTTAATTTTTTTTTTCATGCTCAGTCACTTTGAGAAATTCTGGTAATTATTGTTTAGCATTGACAATATGCACAGCCTTTATTAAATCATAAATATACAGACTGTATACTTCGGAAGTACAGGGGCTTATAGACAGGTTCCCTAATGCATGCCCAAAATGCAAAACCAAGTTCATTCTTAAAGATATTTTTTTGGAAAGGAGTCGTGAAATAGCATTTATTTCTCATCAGTTGTGAAATATCTGGCAGGTCCATATTTGTAGAATGAATAATTACATTTGATTTAACATTGACACATGAGTAGAATTTGCTTTATTTTTGAAATATTTTCTAGTTTTGTGGAAGGCAGGAGCAGAGCAACTTTTATGAGCATTTTACAGTTTCAGCACCTTGTTGGGGTTCAGACATGAAAACTAAGCTTTTTGCAAGATTGAGCCTTAACCAAGTAGTGTTGACAGACCAGCATGATCATTTTACTTACTGGCTCTCCTTAGTGCTCGAGGACAATGATGGATGAAGTCTCTCTCTGAAAATAGCTGCACCAAGTGCATGTATTAATACAAGAGCCTAATCCTGTATATCAAGCTTAGAGCCAAGCCCCTTCTAAAGTGTCTTATTTGTAATGCAAATGATTTACACATGTATTAAGTGTCCTTTTTATTTGATCTTATTTGCCTGGATGTTGCACAGTTTAATCTGAATGCAGTCTGTGACTATATATATAAAAAATGAAACATTTCTGTGATTTTAAAAGAAATATAATATGAAGAAAATTTGTATGGAGGCTCATGTTTTTAAGGATATCTTTCTGTTTAAGAACAGATTGCTTCAAAGATGTTCTTACAACACAATGAATCCAAATGCAATTCCAAGGTTGTGTTAAAAAATTAGCTTAGTACCTTTGAACATAAATACATACAAATGCTTTGGGTTGAGTCAGTATTCGGTGACATAAGACAAAATATTAAAACCTTAGGTCCTGATGAAGCTAAAGTTCCCAGATAAGAATGAACTCTGGAAAACTGACACATACGGGTTATAGAGTGGTGCCTCCTTACTGCACTCAGCTCAACTGCAGTATTTATCTTGCTATAACTAAGAGGTTGGCTGGTCCCTAAAGTCATCTGACAGATCAGCAGTTCACTTGAGTGGGTAGGAGTACTTGTCATACTGTACTAGTAGGTTACTAGTAGTAAGGTACTATTAATAGTACAGTACCACTTCTAGTTCTGACAGTCAGTCTACCGGTGAGAACTTAGACCACCGTGTCTGTCAAATGCCTGTTCTCAAAGCAGTTCCCAACATGTGAGGGATTGAAGGTAATTAATTAATAAAGATTAACTTTGGGCTATCTAGACTGACTATGCTTTGGCAGGCACCACTGGAAGGACTGAGAAACGTTTGGGGAGCTGGTGGGCTAACTGAAATAAAAAGGAGGAAAAAGGGAGGCATCACAGAAGCACCTTAGCAGTAGGTTTCTTCTGCCATTTCCAGAAGAAGCAAGCTACACGAGAGATCCCATGCCCCTTACTCTCATAGGTCCTTGTAGGGTTAAGAGGAGCAAGCAACTGTGAAATCAGAAACTCGCTAACACATGAAAATTGAGAAAATCTCATTTATGAGATTATTGCATTTTATGCCACTGGAATAAATGGCTATATTTTGCAGAGGGAGTAATGTTGCAAACTCCCAGGCTTTTCTCAAGACAAATGCTCACTGAGCTATTTTAAGATTATTAAATTACCCAAGTGGGAAATTTCCTGATTTGGTGAGAGGGTAGCCCCACAGTGCACACACTCAACTGAGAGAAGGTTGTTGGAGCTCTTCAGCTGACTGGAATTTGTCTCTGTACACACCAGATTCCATAATCAAGGATTTAGGGCCTTTGTTACTCTTAGAAAGTCAAAGTCCTATATATTTTATCTGCTGTGGCTTCCTTGGGGTAAATGGTTATGTCATTGTAAGACAGTTCTGACTGTTTAAAATTTCTCACTCACAAGGGGAAGACTACATCAGTGGACATCCCGAAAACTATTCCCAGTGGATGACTAGGATCATCAGGGCAGTTACCAGTCCAGTTAACTTGAATAGCCTTTAGTTTTCCAGGTGGCTAACCAAATAGCCCTCCGTCATATAAATACTTCCTGTAATTTATTATAATGGTTCAGCCAATCCTCTTCTCTCCCCTCTTTTACTAATATTCATAATAAGAGATGTCCGTTAATTAGCTGCCCTCTTAAACTGTCACAGGCCATGACATTTGGCCACGCTCTTGTAGAAGTGCCAAGTCTATCAAAAGCAACAGTTTCAAACTATTTGTGGGCATCATCACACAAGCACAGGTGCCAGTCCGTCTCCAGTGGGCATCTCTGTAAATTTGCCATATTTATTCTTTCCAGGCTAGGAAATAATTCATGGTCATGAGTTAAGTGACCATTCCAAATTTTAAGCCAAGAATTTATGAACTGACTGCCAGTCTCATTTCCTAAAGATTTGCAAGGTCTACTTGAATACTACCTCGAGTATCCAGCTTTTCAATGGGAACTCAATCAGGACCAGGAATGGATGAAAGATCATTAAAGTATAATTTCTTTCAACACCTTATTTTCAAACTTAGATTTTTTTTTTTCAGAGCTGAAAGAAAGGTAAATGGAAATTCTGTTTAAGTATATGGGTTAGCCTTTGTCAAAATTAACCTTGTTGATAGAAAGTTTTCCGAAAATTCAAGAACCCAGCATGTGAACATCGTAAAAGCTTGCTTAGTGCTTTTCACCCAGAAGGCTGGACCTGCACACACATTCTGTTATGGCACCAAAATGGGCAGTGCAGCTGCTGCTGTCCTTGCTGCGCAGGCACATGCTTCGGTAAGGCACCAGGAAAACATCTAGGCATTTATCTTCTGCCATCATCGCTTTCCCCCTGCAGGACCGACTGCAAAATGCATTCTCAGTGTTCTAACTGGCTCCAGTCTTGGACCCCACTCACCCAGAAAATGGGTCCGTTCATGTCATGTATTAAAATGATGAGTTCTGGTGGCAGATTTGCAATGATACTAGCATTGGCAGCTCTCTAAAAAAAAATTTCCTCTTCTTTATGTGTTGCAGGTAGAAGAGGGAAGGAGGAAACCCTAACCCCTTATCTTATTTTCCCTATCAATTCTTCAGAAAGTTTCTCTTCATCACCTCTAGTAATAAATTTAAAGCCTTTACAAATAGAAAGCAAACTTACGCCTAGCTATTGTAATTGGATCCAACAGGGTGGACCTTGCTGCCGTGCTGAGCTCTATAGCCGGGTGTCCTCCTGCATGGATCTTGTTGCATGTTGGAAGCTGGTTGGTTCTTGGACTGTGTATGTCCTCCCCCAGCTAATTTCCAAGTGGTGCTCCCACACTTCCTTCGGAGATATCAGTCTGCCTCTGATTTGTTTTTTGACCTTCCGCCTCCACCTTTCTGAAGTTTAAGACTCCTTTTCCAGTTACATTATCTTGAAATATCTTGTGGGCTTGAAAAACAGCCCACACTGGCCAAAAAAAATCCCCACATCGGTTTGGTTTGGGCCTTTTTGTTTGTCGTTGTTGCTGTTATGGTGTAAATTGGAGGAAAAGCATTCTATTTTCCTTATACAATACAATTCCTTTTATTTTAATGCAATCACATGTGCATAATTATAGATTGGCCTGGCTTGCTGAGATTCTGATCGAGTGGAAAAGCTAACCCGCTGTGTGTGTAAAGCAGTGCGGCTGGCTAGGCACAGGAAAACTACTTAAAATAGTCTCACCAAAATCAAAAAATCATTGAGTTCAAGGGAAAGAAGAGAAGTGGCTTTTCAGCAGGCCAGAGGGTGCTTTGTACTTGGCAGAACTAAAATGAGCAAATGTTGCCTTCGTGCCTCCCTGTGCTGCACCTGTTGGGAAGATAAATAAAGGACTGCCCAGTTCTTTCCCCTCATACCTCCTAAATATATCACTTAAGGAGAGCTTGCTAAAAAGAAACATGCCGCAACACCCTTCTGTTTCATGAAAAACTGGGGGAGATCCTCTGGTTTAGTTTCAAGAATCAGAGCGATTTGATGAGATTTTGGTTATCAAAACATTAGTAAATTCCACACACTTTAACAGTCCATGGAAAAAAATATGTAATAC